GAGAGAGAGAGAGAGAGAGAGAGAGAGAGAGAGAGAGAGAGAGAGAGGGGCCAGACCGGGGAGGGTGAATTATGAGGGAAAGAACAAGTTTCAAATTTCATTTTTCATTTTTAATGCATTTTGTTTTCTGCGGAAATGCAGGCCCCTGCAGCACAGGTGGTCCCTGCCCCAAGACTGAGAAGAGCTGGCAGTGTTACAGGACGGGTGAAGACAGCTGGTGCCACAGAACAGCGTAGTGCCCCAGAGCAACGGGCTCCGACGAATCCAGGAATGCCGAGGTGATGGGATGTTCAGTTTGCACTGTAACCAGATTGACTTGGTTGCTTGTGTTCAACTAACCAAACCTTACTCCGTCTGAAATGAAGTTTGGGAATTCTTGTCTGTTGTCAGGCACAGAGTGTATAAAAAAAATCTAGAAAAGAAAGAACTTCAAAAAGTTCAAAACGGTGAAAAAAGACTAGGTTGTTTTTCTCTGCCGCCTGCGCACCCAACTTGTGTGCCCGGATACACACCCAGGTGCCCAGCTGGGCATCACCTCCGGGCAGGGCTTCTGGCATCCCGGCGCAAAAAAAAAAAAAAAAAACATCTAGAAAAAAATATATATGTTTGTTACGATAGTGGAGAGAGAGGAGGAGAAGAAGAAGAAGAAGAAGAAGAAGAAGAAGAAGAAGAAGAAGAAGAAGATGTACACCAGTGAAAGACCAATGATAATTACCCCTTCTTCTCCCCAACCAAACTCCTCCTTTCTCCTCCCCTCTTATTCAATCAATAAATAACGATAATGATGATGAATGGCAGAAGCAGAATCAATGTCCAAATCCCACTTCTACTACTTGGCATAACTAGAGGTCCACCATAGCCATGGCCTCCATCTTCTTCCTCCTGGCCGAGGCTATGGCGGACTACCAAGGGCCTAGCCCTGCTGTGCAAAAGACAACGCAAAGCAGCTATGTTCGCTGCTGCTCAGGCCGCCATGCCTGGCTCTGCCTTGAAGCCTTCTTGGTGCGGGGCAACCCCCACTGGGGCCTTCCAGCTGCAGCGCCTAACAAGGTGATGAAGATGGCGTCCACCATAGCCAGGTTGGTACCTTGCCACTCTCCTACCTAGTCCCATTCTTCCTCCTCCTCCTACCGGTAGACTCGGTAGAGCTCCTCCCCCAGGGCTGTAGTGTCCAGTGCTCTTCCTTCCAGCAGCGCCCTGAAGTCCAGCGCTGGCTGAAGCAGCACAACTTCCAAAATTGCATACCGTAAATGAGGTAGAGCCCAGCGCTCTACCTGAAGATAGAGCGGCCTACTTGCCTCTTGGGGCGGTGACCTCCTGGCTGCGCGGCCTCCAAGCAACCGGTACCTCCTCCCTTTCGGAGGGAAACATCATTGCAGGCTCTGATATCGTCCACACAGGCCCTAGACTCAGGCTACTTGGACTGGTACCCGCCTAGACCTAGCCTCCCAGCTACTGGGCCTCTAAAAATTCCAACTTTTGTCTTCTTCTGCTCGGCCCCCAGTTCCCGACACATCTACCACTACTTGAGTGGTACCGGCCTGCCTACTAGAGTGTTTTTCCCGCTGCTCTAACTGTCCCGGGCCTACTCCCGCCACTTGAATGTTTTCCCCACTGCAACCCTCAGAGTCACGGCCAAAGGTAAGTACCGGCCCTGTGGGGCCTCCAACCAAACAAGTGCCCTTGCGGGTCACACACACACTCAGACCGACAAGCACTCAGACAGGCATGCAGACCAGCAAGCATGCACGCAGACAGACTAAGAAAACTCAGCAGAATGCGGGAATCTCAGCAAGGCATTCATTCCAGCGGCAAAACTCAGAAATCACCAGTGTTCTCAGCCTGCGTTTTGACGGGTCATTACATGTTCTGCAGAATTGCAATGCAAACGACTTTTGGCTGAGGGCCATAACAGAAGTCCTCACCGAGATAAAAAAGATAATAACTTCAATAACAGAATCAGACGAAGCACCTCCCTTTAAACCCCTTTAGCCCCTTCAAATTTTAAAACCAATTTGTACGCCCCTTCCCCCCTTGGACACTCAATGCGAAAAAAAGCAAAAAAGAGCTTGGATTTGGGATCCTCTGGGCATGCACCTTGGAACACCCCCACGGCCAGGTTTGTTTTGGCGCCTACCGCCAACCCCTACCGTAGGTGGTGGGCGCGTCTACCAGTCGGGCCGACCCGTAGGAGGACCCGTCGGTGGTCGGCAGACAGCCTAAATTTTTTTTATTTTTTTTTTCTGATGACATGGTCGTGTGCGGCTTGAGGAGAGCAGCCCAAATCCACAATAAGTTTTTTGGGGGGTGGTGGGGGTTATAGGGGGAGGTATAGG